TAATCAAAACAGCAACAATGTAATGCTGGATTCATGTAAAAGTAAAATGTTTGACAATAGCACAAAGGATGGAAGGGAGAAATGGAAATATATTATTATAAGTCTTGAGTATACTTGAAGTGGTACCATATCATTTGCCTAGTAAATTGTAGTAAGTTAAAAATACTATGATACTAAATTACTAAAATAACAAAAGTTATGGCTAATAAATGAACAAAGGAGATGAAATGAAAGAATAAAGCAACCTAAAAGAAGAAAAAAAGAAAAGGGTAAATAGCAGATGAGAAGGTAAGAAGCAAATAGAACGATGACAGACTGCAACCTAGCCATATTAATAATCACATTAAATATATATGCACTAAATACCCCAATTAAAGGGGAGAGATTGTCCGTTTGGATTAAAAAGCACAATCCCAATATATGCTGCCTTTTAAGAAATGCACTTTTTATATAAAGGCAACAAGTTCAAAGAAAGCAATAGAAAAAATATACCATGTTTACACTAGTCCAAAGAAAGACTGGAATAACTCTACTGATATCATAGATTTCAGAGCAAAGCACTTACCATGGATATAGCAGATTGTTTCATACTGAAGCAGGCATACTGCATTACATTGCACATCGCTTTGTTGTGATTTGTAGAGGCTGCATTTTTGAAGTCTTGAAGATTCAAGACTTCAGTGGAGGAAGTAACTGCAGATGGGGCAGAAATTGCAAGAGAAATAATGTTAGAATTGGAGCCTGAAGATGTGATTGAATTGCCATGAGCTCATGATAAAACTTTAATGGGTGAGGAGGTGCTTCTTAGGGATGATCAAAGAAAGTGGTTTCTTGAGATGGAATCTACTCCTGGTGAGGAGGCTGTGAAGATTGGTGAAATGACAACAAAGGATTTAGAATATGACATACACTTGGTGGATAAAGCAGCAGTAATGGTTTGAGAGTATTGATTCCAACTTTGAAATAATTTCTTCTGTGGGTAAAATGCTATCAAATGGTATCACATGCCACAGAGGAATCATTTGTGAAAGGAAGAGTCAATCTATATGGCAAACTTCATTGTCTTACTTGAAATTGTCACAGTCATCCCAGCCTTCAGCACTGCCACCCTGATCAGTCAGCACCATCAGCAATGAGGCAAGACCCTCTACCAGCAAAAAGATTACTACTTCCTGAAGGCTCAGATGGGGTTAGCATTTTTTAACAATGAAGTATTTTTTAATTGAGGTATATACATTGTTTTCATTAGACGTAACACTATAGTACACTTAATAGACTCCAGTGTAGTGTAAACATAACTTTTATATGTACCAGGAAACCAAAAAATTCATTTGACTTGCTCTATTGCTATATTTATGTCATTGGGGTGGTCTGGAACTGAATCCACAGTCTCTCTGAGGTATGCCTATAAAGGGTTCAATTCATCAGGAGACCATACAGTCCTACATATTTATGCGCCTAACAGACCTTCAGAGTACAGTACATGAAGCAAAACTGACAGAACTGTAAGGAGAAATAGAAAAACAATTATAGTTGGAGACCTCACTATTCCTCTCTCAAAAACTTGTAGAGCAAGTAGAACATGAGTAAAAATATAGAAGATTTAAGCAACTCTGTTAACCAACTTCACCCAACTGACACTTATAAAATTCTCTGTCCTACATCAGCAGAATATACTTTCAAGTGCACACAGAACATTTACTAAGATAGACAATACCCTGTGCCAAAAAACAGGTCCCAATAAATTTAAAGGCATTCGAGTCATACAAAGTATGTTCTCTGACCACAATGGAATTATATTAGAAAGCAGTAGTAACAGGAAGATAACTGGAAAATTCCCAAACATTTGGAAACTAAATAACATATGTCTAAATAACCCAAGGGTCATGGGAGATATCAACAAGGAAATTAGAAAATATCTTGAATTGAATGAAAATGAAAATATAGCCCATAAAAACTTGGAGGATGCTGCTAAGACAAAGAGGAAATTTATAGGCTACATTCCCACATTATTTTTATTTTTTTTAAGATTTATTTATTTGAGAGAGAACTAGAGCAAGCAGGGGGAGGGGCAGAGGGAGAGAGAATCTTAAGCAGACTCTGCACTGAGTGTGGAACCCAATGCAAACTTGATCTCACAACACCAAGATCATAACCTTATCTGAAACCAAGAGTCAGATGCTTATCTGACTGAGTCACCCCTACATTCCTGCTGTAGAAGTGAACAGAAATCTCAAATCCATGACTGCAGCTTCATGTCAAGAAACTAGGAAAGAAGAACAAACAAACAAGAACCCAAAGTAAGTGGAAGAAAGGAAATAATAAACATCAGTATGGAAATAAGTAGAATAAAAAAATAGGAAAACAATAGAGAAAATCAGTGGGACCAAAACCAAAGTAGATATATTAAAATTGGCAGTCCTCTACCCAAACTGATTTTGGGGAGAAGACACAAGCTACCATAGCCAGGAAAAAGAGGAGTAACTTCACTACAGATTCTGCAGATACTGAAAGGAAGGATAATAAAGCAATATTATGAATACTTAGCTTATAATTTCAACAATTTAGATGAAATGGACAAATTCCTTAAAGACACAAACTACTAAAATTCATTCAAGAAGAAACTGATAGTTTTTTTTTTTTATTAACATATAATTTATTATTAGCCCCAGGGGTACAGGTCTGTGAATCATGAGGTTTACACACTTCACAGCACTCACCATAACACATACCTTCCCCAATGTCCATAACCCCACCACCCTCTCCATACCCCCCTCCCCCCAGCAACCCTCAGTTTGTTTTGTGAGATTGAGTCTCTTATGGTTTCAGACTGATAGTTTTGAAATTTGTAATTAAAAACCTTTTTGGCAACTAAAAACCTTTTTAGAAAATAAGATGTGAAAGCATATGTCCACTTAAAAAAGTTTACGTGAGTATGCGTAACAGCTTCCTGTGTAACAGAAATTAGAAACAAGGTAAATGTTGCTCAACAGGTGAATAGGTAAACTATAGTCCATACTATAGCTTGGACCACAGCGCTACTCAGAATAAGATTCAATTATTGATAATACGCTCCAACATGATGGATCTCAAAATATTTATGCTGAGTGGAAAGAAGCCAGATTAATAAAGAAAACATGAAAAAAAAGAAAACATAAGATAGGATTTCATTTTCATACAGTTTTAGAAAATGCAAACTAATCTGTAGGAACAGAAATCTTATTAGTGGTTTCCTCGGTCAGACTTGTTGGGGTGGGGACCAGGAAGCATGAGGAAGCTTTTGTCAGTGTTAGGTGTGTTTGTTATCTTACTTATGGTGGTGGTGTCACTGGTCACATACGCCCCAAATTGGTCAAATTGGACACTTTAAATATATACCATTTGTTGTATATTAATTACACCTCAATTTAGTTTTTCCTTATTAAGAGCCCCAGGGGACTCAAGTGGAACTGGGACAAATTTGAGAGTCAGGACAAGGTTGGGAAACATTGCTCCAGTCCCTCAAATCCCTGGTTCCACCATACGGAGATGACCTATTCTAGGTAGTTTCCTGTTCTGAAACTGGAACATTCCAGAAGTATTACGCATATACAAACATATATATTCCTTGTTTTAAATTCACAAATGGTAACATACTTTATACCTATATATCTTCTGTATTTTTTTCACTTACTATATATTAGGGTTCTTTCCATATCAATAAATATGGAAATATTTTTACTTTTTAAGCTAGCTGTATGTTAATTTATTGGATATGGATCCCAATCATTTTGACTGCATATTGGTACTGTATGCTTATTTTAAAACTCCCTGGGAATGGAGATGTAACTTGAATAGTTGCTACAATTAACTTTTCTTTTAAGCTTACCCTTATGTTCTCACTTGCAAGCTATATGACAAAATGCTTTCATTTCTGAGTTTACAAGTTTTCTAGAAGGCCAGATTCACTGTTAGTATTTTTTCACCAGTAAAGTTTATATATCTATATGAAATGTTGACAGATGTTACATTTTGAAAAGCTGTTGTGACATTTTACTTGCTTTCCTTGTCCCCTCAATGTGAAATTCAACACACAATTTTTTCAATTGTTTAATTCTTTTTTCTGTCCTTTGGTATGTTGATCTTTAGGCCACAGCTATTTTAGAGATGTATACTATGTAAGCCTGTAATCTGCTATCAACTTGCATTTTTGGCAAAGAATTCTTTGGCTGAACTCTTGCTGGCTTTTTTTCCCCCCCAAAACAACAGCTGGTCAAATGGGCCAATACCAATATAATTCTCATTTTTAAAGTTAACTGCATTCTTTGTTAGACCATGTTTCAACAGGAAGACCACTTTCAAAGTCAATGGACCAATTTATTTGGGGGGGTTTCAATTTCCTAATGGCCATTTTATGTGTCCTTTAGAGATTTTCTGTTATTTTCAGTCTTAAAGCAACAGGAATCTCAAAGTGTACATTATCCCAACTACCCATATTGTCACATACTTTGTGTGCTTACTGGGTTTACTAGTGAACGTTGTCTTTTTATGACTAATGACATTCTGAACTTCTGGCCAGCATTTCATCAGATGCTGAGTAAGTGCAGTTCGTATCAGTCAAGTCTTTGTTTTATATTCATTAGCTGATGAAGTTAGAAGAGTCGTTGCAGCTCCTCAGGATTTTCACTCCCTCAATTTTCAAATCATTAAACTCTACATTCGCATGTTCCTAAACTCTACATTCCAGCTTCTTGTTCACCTCTTTGTCTTCCATGTTGTAGGATTTCCGGGGATTGTCCCTATCCTATCCAGTTACGTTTGCTTATATTTGCATGTCTGAGGTCATGTTTCTGAGGAGTCTATAGTGGCATAAATGTACATATTTTGAATGTCACCTTTCCCTGAAGTGGGCATCTTTTGGCTGAGAAGATGGTTTTACTGACTAGTAAATTATCTTTCAGACCCATCTTCATCTCCAAGGACTTTGTAGTTTATTCAGGATGTGTCCTTCTCTAACTTAGGGAAAGTGTGGAGAGCCTGATCCAGAAGCATTCCTATGCCCGCTCACCCATCCGTACCTATGGAGGAGAAGAGGATGTGCTGGGGGATGAGGTTCAGACAACACAGAATCGAGGTAAGACAGCTACTAGGCAGAGTAACTGCTGGGAGCAAGAGCACCCAGAATGAGAAAGAAAAGTAGGTGATGAAACTTGTAGTTCTCAGGGAGCATTCTGCCCCAAAAGTATTTCAGGAGTCTCTTGAGGAAGGACAGATCCTGAGGCTGATTTTCATACAACTCATTATTTTGCTTCAGAGTCTTAAGTAATTTTTCTACCTGATGGTTTCCTGTGATTTTCTAGTGAAAGGACATCAAGCCTCTCAGTCAGGGCTCAGGAGTTACTTGTCTGTGATCTACCACCAAAGAGCTGTTGGACTCTGGGAGCAGTCCTTTAGTCTTTCGGAACCCCAATTTTATAATCTGAAATCAAGGACTGTATCTGTTTCTCTTACAAGATATTCCAGAACTATCTTATTAGGATCGATGACTAAAATGAAAAACACTTTTAGTTATTTTATTTTGCTTTACTTTTTAAAAGTTCTTATTAATTTGAGAGCTCACACGTGCATGAGCAGGGGTGGGGAGGGACAGAGGGAGAAGGAGAAGCAAACTCCCAACTAAGCAGGGAGCCCAGTGTGGGGCTCAATCCAGGACCCTGGGATCATGACCTGAGCCAAAGGCAGGTGCTTAACTCACTGAGCCACCCAGGTACCCCAGAAAACACTTTTTAGAAGAAGATTTTCCTAGTGAAGGGCATTATGTACAGGCAGTGGCCCCAGTGGTGACAGTGGGGGAATACTGAGAAGTTCCTCTGTCCCAAAGGCTCACAGAGGAGCACTTTGCAGCTGGGAGTCCAGAAGGTGCCTAACCCTCAACACAGGGATGTTCATGTGGGGACAGAGCCCTCTGTCATATTTTTATGTCCTTTATATGGATTAGTGTAATCTGTCAAAATACAGGACATCTCTTGAAATTAAAACCAAATGGACTACTAGTAATTAATTATACAGTTAGAAAATTCAGTGTCAACTTTTGTTTAAACTTGTGGATGCTGTGATATAAGAAAATCTTACTCTTGCAACTTGTCAAGTATATTTTTTAAAGATTTTATATATTTATTTGACAGAGAGAGAGAGAGATCACAATTAGGCAGAGAGGCAGGCAGAGAAAGAGGGGGAAGCAGGCTCCCTGCTTGAGCAGAGAGCCTGATGTGGGGCTTGATCCCAGGACCCTGAGATCATGACCTGAGCCGAAGGCAGTGGCTTAACTAACTGAGCCACCTAGGTGCCCCTCAATTTGTCAAATATTTAATAAAGAATTATGGAAGCTATAAAAAGAAAACCATTTTGGGGAGTTTTCACAATGCCTTTAGAAACCAGTGAGTTTGTTGAGGCTCGTATGTGCAGCCTACCTTCCAAGCATGTTGTCGAGGTCAGGACAGATAGCAGCCATCTGGGCTCCTTTAAAGGGAATCCAGTTATCACTTCCAGGCAGGGTTCTAGTGTTTTGGCCATTCTCTGGGAGTATGTAGACCATCTAATGAGTTAAGTCTTTTTCTATTTAGTAAGTTTTCTCTTCCATATATGGTATAAATGATATCTTACCTGGAAAGGTAGCTGTGACTCATGGTTGACAAGCTTGTCTTTTTAAATTGCAGATCTATTATATATTTTAAAAAATAAATCAGTCCTTATAGATAATGTAATTCTTGATTTGCGCACTAAAATAGAGTTCCTAGTCTAATGAGTTCTTTTCCTTCCAGGGTCAGCCTTCACAACATCCGAGAACTTGTCTCTCAGCTCCTGGGTGTCCTCTTCATCCAGTTTCCCCGGGTTTCAGCACCCCCAGCCCCTGACTGCACTGGGCACCAGCACAGCATCCATAGCAACCCCCATTCCTCACCCTATACAGGGCTCGTTGCCACCCTATGGCCGACTTGGGATGCCTCTGACACCATCAGCTATTGCCAGCTCCATGCAGGGGAGTGGCCCGACATTCCCCTCATTCCACATGCCCCGGTACCATCACTACTTTCAGCAGGGGCCCTACGCTGCTATCCAAGGACTGCGCCATTCCTCTGCTGTGATGACACCATTTGTATGACTCTTCTAAACCTAGGAGAATCCAGATCTAGAATGTGCAAATGGGTATGGAAATACGGGGCAGGGTTGGGTGGGTGGGATGTCGGGTGTTAGAGCAGGAGCTCTCCAGGAGACATGGGACCTATTAAAGAGGAGAGCTGGACTCACAATTAAACCTACTGCTGAGGGAGTGCACCACAGACCAGGAGTCATGTGTAGTTTGGGGACAGCTCTTGGGTTCGAGAGAGAATCAATGTAGACTTAGCCAGCCTAAGTCCAGCAGCCAATAGTATACTGACTTATCCAGGAAATTTAATAACACAAGGCAGATGAATCTTAAGGTGTATTATACCTAGCAGTTAAAAATGCTGTGTCAGTGCAGTAATGTATAAAATCAATGTGTAGATATGGTTTTCTTTCTGCGTTCCACAGGTTAAAAGAATCTTCAAAGAGGCAATATATATAACATACTGACTGTAATGCATAGTGACTAACTTAAGTCCATTTCTCCCTGTAGAAAAATGGGAGCCAATAGAGAAACATTTGTAGTGTTGTAGCTTAAGCATGTTTAGTTTCCCTTTGTATTAGTTTGCTGGAGAAGGGGCTGAGACAATGCTGAAGCATCCTATTTTGTGGATGAATAGGTAGTAATGACTTTACAAAGTTCTTTTTGTAATACTGAGGGGCCAGTACCTGATAAGCTCTTTTTCCCAGTCTTGTCTTCTTTCTTCCTAATTCTCTTTCTTGCAATTACTTGTCGTTTGTGTAGGAAAAACCTATACACAATTTTGAAGCAAGAGGCTCTATGTGTTACATCGTAAAACTGAGGTTTTATTTTTCTGGGCTGCATTCTAAGTGCACTACTGACTTACTCACTGAGGAACATTTCTAAAGCCTCTAGGAGATGACACGTGAGACTTTCTCTCAGTCTGCAATAACAAGACAGTTGCCCTGTTCTGAAGGGAATTTCTCTGCCACGGGTACCAAAGGTCTCTTCATTTTTAGTTTAGCTTTGGGAGACCTTTTGCGTGGTAAAATGTCCTGGGCCAAATTCTCATTTTTGGTAAATCTGCTTTGTTATTAGATTAGCTGTTACCACTGATTGACAAGGATTTGTGAATGACCATTCTGAATGCCCGTATAGCCACCATTTAACCTATGCTTACAAGGACTTATGTGCACCTATATCTAGTTTGTCCTTCTTTCTTACCGTTCATTCAGTGACTCCTTTACCATTTTTCTAGTCCATTATATGAAATCATAGGTCAACTCAGTGACCCCCTGACTAAAACACTGGCAGTGCTTGTAAATCAATGTAAAGCATTTACCCTCTATTTTGCATTCTTAATGTCTTCTTAAGCCTTCCTCTAGTGTTTAGTAATTGAGGATATTTTAGCGATATATAATCTCTGTATTGGGTGGCAACATGTATCTAAGCATTTACAGTCAGGGAAGTGTATATGGAATTTTTTAACAGTCCAATTCCTTAACAACAGAAATTTAGTGAAGTTTATAGTCCTTCAAGTTTAGATATAATACAGTCTAGCTATGAGATACAACCTATCTTCTTTATAGTATTCCCCAAAACTCTATCTTAACCTAATTTAAATTTTGTATCTACTTTGTTCTGACTGTAAAAGTACTGAACCTGTTAAAAGAGATGGGAAATATCACTGCTGAGAGTAGAAGCAGGAGTAAACGCAATATACTTATCACATCAGACTGCATGGAATTTTATTTGGTTGTTCTGTTATGCTTTTCCATACCAAATGCTTTTCTGGGGCATTTATAGTCTATGAGACAAGGCATAATGGCATAGCCTGTCTATGTGATGCCATTGTTGCTGGACTTGTCAATTGTTTTTCTCCACTATGTCCCACAGTTTACTTATGGAGAAGTGTGGGCTGTGCCAGCCAAGCATCTCCAGGTCCTATGCAGACATCATAGGCTAATTTCTAACTTCTTGCATGTTATGCTACAGTATCCACAGGTAGTTTGTTTACAGACACAGCATAGATAATGCATTTCTTTAAAAAAGCAGCTCTGAGTAATGTTTAAATAACCATACAGATTAGGATAGGGATTTGACACTTAATAGTTGGTCTATTGCCAAGTGCTCCTTTCAATACACGGTACTGCTGCTTATGGCAGGAATAACAAAACTAGATGCTATTTAACATGATGCTACTCGATACTCTGGTAAATTACTGGTCTACTAAAGTGAATCCTTCCGATGAGAATGGCAGGATCAGTTCAATACCACTTAGACATTTTTCCCAATTGACATATCTTAAAGTAGGATTGTATGTTTTTGCTAAATATGGTTTTACGCCAGTATTTCCTGACTTCATAACTTGATATTGTAATTAAGCAATATAAGGCTAAAAATAAGTAGAGCGCTTAGAGAAAAGCAAAAACTAGGATACCAAAGCATGCTCTTTGGAAATAACACCTGAAATTCTAAATTGGATGTATTCTTGAAGTATCTGGCATTATTTGAACCAGAAATAAAAAGCACAAGGTACAATGGAGCTTAAACTGATCAAAGTCATCCTAGCCATGAGAAGCAAGGGTAGAAATTTATTCCAACCGGGGTCTTTCTGAGCTATTCTAGTTGTGATTCTTTAACTCTTTGGGTATTTAAAATTTTAAAGTCTAAAATCTATCCTACCAAAAGTAATTGCAAGAACTAGATAGTGGGAAAGCCAATTGAATAATTCAGAGCATGAGTTATAGTATATTTAGAATAAATCCAGGGTTTCCCCCAAGGTTTATTACAGTATCAAAATGCATGGCTAATGTGCAGTGCTGCTAAAATGAGGCCCTTCCAGAACTGCTTTATCTAACCTGAAGGGATTAATTCATATCTTAGTAGGTTCTGCAGACCTGATTTATTTTTAAAACATGTATCAATAATGCTGAGTAAGTTCAGTTATTTCTTTTACTACTTTTTCAAGTCTTCCCCCACCTCTGTCCACTCTTAGCAGTATATAAGTTGTTAAATATATCCATCTGGTGTCTAATATATAATAAATTATTAGGTTACAAGTTCTATATTAATCAATTTAGGTTGCACTGCGAGTCCTTTTGAGTTTCTAACAAAGGTTTGTTGTTATTCCTAGTAGATGGCACTGAATGGGAGGTATTAAAAAGATACTAAGAAAAACCCTGTGTAGAGTCATACTATAGAAGTTACATTAACTTCTGGGGTATTCCAAGATCTCCCCTCCCCCACTCTCATCCACATCTGTTACTACACTTCTCCAGCCACAACATCTCCAGCCCCTCATGCAAAAAAAGAAAAAAGACACCCTCCAAATGCCCAAGAAAAAATAGCTTTGGAAGAAAAGGATCCCTATTCCCATACTGCCTATGGATTTTTCAGAGAGAGGTTAGGGTATTTAACCCATTTCTAAATTTCATGTTAGCTTTTCAGCCTGTCTTACTAATATTTAAGCTGAATTCTATTGAGAAAAATAAGCTTCAAATAAAATGGATAGGATGACTTTATCACCCCATTAAATATGCAGTCAAACTTAGCCATGACTCAGCAACTAAAGTTCCAAAAACTCAGTTATGTAATGTGCAGGGTCACATATTGCAAGAAAAACAATATTTTTATTCAGTCTTCCACTGAGTAAGGAAACTTTACATTAATAAACATGTATGAAATTGATAATCATTAAAAACAAAGCTATTATACCCTAGTCTAGACTAGAAAGAAAGAAAGCAGTGGACATAGAAAAGATTTTCAGCTGACTCCTTTAGACAGCTTGGGTGGAAGAATGGATTTTACATGTTTTTATATTATTTCAGAATGCAAGGATTTTCTGTAAGCAAGCAAAGGGAAGGTTACAGATTCTTAAAACTTTAGAAAACCATAAAATAATTTCTTCCCTAATATTCCATGCCAGTTATAAAATATTCTAATATTTATCTTTCTTCAGCATGCTTAAATACGCAAAGGTTCATTTATAAATATTTAATAGGCAAATAATCCTTAAGTATTTTCTGGCCCTTCTTTCTCTGTCCCTCCCTCAATTCTAATCCCTTCCCCTGATAATAAGAAAATAAAAACATTGGTAAAACAATACATCTGGACAAAAAATACAATTTGTTGTATTTTACTTCTGATACATTAAAATGTGTATTCATTTTTTTCTTATTTTCAGAAACATGAAAGAATGTCTTTTATTTCCTGAAGTATAAAATTGGATATAGCCTCTTTAGTAGACTCTATCACAGTTCTGTCGTTTGCTGTGTTCATTTGCTTAATGAATTGCGTGAGAACAGTCACTGTAATGAAGTGTGTGTGTTGGGGGTGGGGGGAAGGGCAGGGGAAATGTTTTATGAAAAAAGAAGTTATAAGCCTAATACTATGAAGTAACATCTAATGAAGTTCTTTTTAAGTGCAATATATTTATTTCTGCTAGAAATGTATTATCAACATTATGTAATATTTGAAGCATTACATGTTATTTGTAAACAGCTTAAAATTATATATTACCCAAAATTGTACAGAAGTACACATGTGCGGATATTAATTTCTTTCATTAAAAATGGTGTGTTTTGATATATATGCACACATTTACACCTTTCTTTATCTTATACACTTGCTTCATGACTTTTGGTACCCGTTTGCTCACCTGGAAAAAAAAAATGGATTAGGTAAGATTAGGGGTCATAGCTGGCCACTCCCAGGCCAGACACAGCCAACAAGATTGCTATACAGAGTTTGTTTTTTGTCTTTAATTGTATCTGGAAGCCTATAGAGAAGACACTGCTCACAAGTTCCCACTGGTTCCTGTTCTACACCTAATCCCTTTCACTCATTAACTCCTCCTGATGAACACTTAGAATCATGGGACTTTGTGCCTCTCTGTACGGAATAATACTGAAGACTCCATAAAGCTTAAAGAACTACCTCTCATTCCAGCCCTGAACCCTTGAATGTGCTGTAATGGTATTACACAAAGCAGGCCGATATAAAATAAGATTAGCTAAATTCAAAGTCTTAATCCT